TGCGGGAAAGAAAATGAATCGACGTACCACGAAGTATATACTCGTTACAAAGCGGGATATATTTTCTCCCAGCATACCTCTTACACCAAAAAATTAAGGTTCAAATTTTGCATTAGGGTACTTGAAAGAGTTAAATGCCTCGGAATTACTTTCTTTATTTTGTCCTGGTAACAGGAAGGTATGTGTACAAATATTAGTCATGAAATCAAAATTACAAAATCTTTATAGATTATGTTCGAAATCTAATGGGAAACATACTTTCCTTATCATTATTATGATAACCTGTGAAATAGGTAACATAATAAATTCAGATTTATATTCAGAATCATATTTTTAACCAGGCGTTGAAGGTCCGGTTTCTGCGAATATTCATGAAACAGGACATTCTTGTTCAAGGAAACATTCTACGTTCTTGAGAAAACTTCGTAAAAGCTATTCAGTTTGAAAGAACGTTCCCTGCAAGTGACCGTCGATGGATATCTCTCGAATACTTTTACCATCAACGCTGGTATTCCCCAGGGATCCATATTGTCTCCAACCTTCTTTTTATTGTATATCAACAACTTATTGAAAAAAACCAGGAATCCAATAATATTGTCTTTTTTTCTTGAAATTGTCTCAGGAATACATCACTTGAATATTTTAACGTATTTATGTTACACCCTGTATTGCTTTGTTGACTACAGCACACTTGTCTCGTCATTCCATTTGGATTCCAAGACATCGGCTGCGGATGCACCGGCATCAAGAGGTTGCATATCTCAATGAGGATCTAGAAGTAATTTCGAATTGGGGTGAAAGTAACCAGGTTCAATTCAAAGCCGCAAAAACACAGGCATCGGTTTTCTTCAAAAAGGTAATAATAATGTCAGGTCAAACAATTCCGCTTTCTGCTTCGATAAGTTTCTTGGGGGTTAAAATGGACACCAATATGTCTTGGCCCAATCATGCTGCAGGAATAGCAAAGACTGCTTCTGAAAAGCTTGGAAAACTGTACACACCTCAGCATTTTTTAAGCTTTATAAAGCTCAGATCAAACCTTCTTTGGAGTATTGTTCTCATGTATCGAGCTCCGCCCCCAAACATACCCTGAAGTTGCTGGATTCCATTCAGAAAAGAGTCAACCTTGATAGCTTGAAACATCGAAAAAAGGTTGGAGATTTGTCTTTTTTTTATAGATAATTTCACGGGAAGTGTTCAAGTGACTAAGAACATTCGATTCCACCAAGAGCGGTACATATCAGAAATCCGCGACGGACTGTGGCTGCTCATCGTTTTGAGGTTCAACTCAGTACACCTCAAACTCCACTGAGAACTCTTTCATTAGGAAAATTGCGTTTATGTGGAATTAACTTCCTGTGGAATAACTTTTCCAGATGGAACTAATCGTAAGCGTTATTCGTTTTATAAGTTATTCAAATCTGAAGGTTTAGTTTTGTACACATTGCTTTTCACATATCCCCCACAAAAAGAAATTAAATGATGAAAGATCTGGTGATCGTGGTGGTCATTCAATCGATCCTCGCCTCCATATTCACCGATTGGGAAATGTTGTATCGAGGTATTGCCGGACATTAACTTGGTAATGTGGTGGTGCTCCATCCTGCTGAAACCATATCGTATTCACTGGAACTTGGTGGTTTCCTGGATCAGGATATGAATTTGCTGAACTTGGAATGACATCATTTTGAAGTACTGCCAAATAATTATCTGCATTCAAGTTGCCCTCAATGAAAAAGAGACCAATTATATGGTTTCCTACAATCCCTGCCCAAACATTAATCTTTTAAGGGTATTGCGTGTGTTCTTCAGTAAGGATTTTCCATTGACCAGTAGCTGACATTTTGACGATTAGCCTGACCGTTAAGAGACACAGTACACTAATCAGAAAACATAACGTCTTCTAATTGGATGATATTGTTATCCAAAATGTCCATCATTTGCTCACAAAAATAAGTTTTTCTATCAAAATCGTCTTCCATAAGCTCCTGAGTAGGTATCATTTTATAGGAATGCTTTTTATTTTCTTTTAATATGTTTACTATCGATGTATGGTTAACATTAAATGTAGTGGATGCCTGTCTACTCGATGTGTCTGGGTTTTTCTCAAACTCAAGATTCACATCTAATTTGAGTTCATCACTCATTGCACTGATGTCAGCTGCTTTTCCATCTGCCCCACATGACCAAGCTAGCGAAACTGCTTCCCTATTTTGCTTATTGTTCCTTGAGAAATGGGCGGTAAATTAGGAAATTTCTCATGTAATAGGCGAGCTACTTCCTGTTGTGTTCAGGTTTCATCTCCGTAACCAATCATTTGTAAAACTGTTTTTTTATGCATTTCCGTTAATTTAACCATTTGTCAGACTTGAAGTTAACGAACTTCAAACTTGAATTTGAATACTGACAATTAATTTTGTAACATACATAACAAGTTGAAAAGGTGTTAAAAAACTGATTTTTTCCTCCACAAAAAATGACTTTCGTTGAGTAAATATTAATAGATTCCATAAGACCGTCTGCACCTCGCAAACGCGATTTACTTTCACCAAGGACCACAGATTTCATGTCATTATCTTTGGAAATAAATCGGACTGTTATGAATTTGTTATCCACCCCATATTAATCCATGGAACCATCTACCTGGATTGAAAAGCATTCTGTGTTTTTCAATTGAATAACCACATTTTCTATCACTACTTCCCCTACAACATCAAGCATTTCGCGATATATTACAGCACCGTTATTCAACGTGTGGGTCGCGACCCCCTGGGGGGTCTTTATGACAATTATTTGAAATTCGGGTTTACTGTGATTGAGAATAAACCGCAGTGCGTTATTTGCTTTGAAACTTTATCAAGAGAAAGCATGAAGCCATCGAAGTTAGCAAGCCACCTCAACACAAAACATCCAAATGAAAAAAATAAACCCGTGGAATTTATTGCTCTTCAACATCAAAAACCTGCTATAGTACAAATGTCCAACCTAAATGAAAAAGCGTTTCTTGCTGGTTATCGAGTAGCTTTTCGTGTGGCTAAAACAGGAAAACTCCACACAATTGCCGAAAGTTTGATTTTACCGACGGCTTTAGATATGTTTGGCAAACAAGAAGTAGAAATCTCAAAAGTATACCTCTCTCAGACAATACCATTCAACGCAGGATAAGCGATATGGCGACTGATGTTCGAGACCAAGTCATAAAAAAAATAAAAGAAAGTACTTTTGTGTCCTTGCAATTTGATGAATCTACGGATATTGCGGGTTGTGCGCAATTTGTCGCTTTTGTGCGTTTTGAATCCAATGAAAAATTAATGGAAGAAATACTATTTTGCAGAGCACTTCCTTCAAACACTACAGGTCAGTACTTGCATAACATGTTCTTTGAAGCTTCGCAAGATATGAATATCGATTGGGAAGAAAAATGCATTGCTGTTTGTAGTGATGGAGCAAAAGCTATGACTGCTGCAAAAAGTGAATTTATTGCTAGGTTGAAAGAACAAATGCCAAACGCTTCTTGGATGCATTGCTTTCTTCATCGCCAAGCTTTTTGCGGCCAAAAACTTGCCCCAGAAATACAGTCAAGTTCTAAATATTATTATAAAAAATTGCCAATTCGAGAGGCAAAGTATTGACCAGAGTTATGGAACTCCGAGCTGAACTTTCAATATATTTACAGCAGACCAAGTCGGAATACTCCGAATTTATTTGTGACCCGGATTTTTTCTTGAAATTAGCTGTTCTTTCTGATGTATTCGACCATTTGAATATCTTGAATAAAAGTCTTCAAGGACGAGATGGAAATGTCATCACTGCAAAAGACAAATTACATTGCTTCACAAAGAAAATCGACTTGTGGTCATTCTCTACAAATCAAAACATCTTCGATTCATTTTCGTCGACACAGTCTTATATTGAAGAATTCGGATGAGATATAAACATCAAGAAGTATATACCTGGTATGAAAACGGTGTTACATAATTTGAAAGAAGGATTATGATTATACTTTTCTGGGCAAGAGATATCGGAAAACACTGAGCAAAG